ATTTTCCTTCAATATATCCACATCATTTTCCTTCCCCATGATGCCATCTATTTTGTGAAGTGCACCAGTCCCTCCTGCAGCAAAGCACCCCCACAGCATGCACCCCTGTGCTTCACGGTTGGGGTGGTGTTCTTCGGCTTGCAAGCCATCCCATTTTTCCTCCAAACATCACGATGGTCATTATGGCCAAACAGTTCTATTTTTGTTTCATCAGACCAGAGGACATTTCTCCAAAAAGTATGATCTTTGTCCCCATGTGCAGTTGCAAACCGTAGTCTGGCTTTTTTATGGGGGTTTTGTAGCAGTGGCTTTTTCCTAGCTGAGCGGCCTTTCAGGTTATGTCGATATTTGACTGCGTGAACCCATGGTGTTTATACTTGCATACTATTGTTTGTACAGATGAACGTGGTACGTTCAGGCGTTTGGAAATTGCTCCCAAGGATGAACCAGACTTGTGGAGGTCTACAATTCTTTTTCTGAGGTCTTGGCTGATTTCTTTTGATTTTCCCATGATATCAATCAAAGAGGCACTGAGTTTGAAGGTAGGCCTTGAAATACTTCCACAGGTACACCTCCAATGGATTCTAATGATGTCAATTAGCCTATCAGAAGCTTCTAAAGCCATGACATCATTTTCTGGAATTTTCCAAGCTGTTTAAAGGCACAGTCAACTTAGTGTATGTAAACTTCTGACCCACTGGAATTGTGATACAGTGAATTATAAGTGAAATAATCTGTCTGTAAACAATTGTTGGAAAAATTACTTGTGTCATGCACAAAGTAGATGTCCTAACAGACTTGCCAAAACTATAGTTTGTTAACAAGAAATTTGTGGAGTGGTTGAAAAACAAGTTTTAATGACTCCAACCTAAGTGTATGTAAACTTCCGACTTCAACTGTACATACATTTACATATCCTTTAAAAATATATATATTTCCCTTTATTACTTTCCAACCCCACCACCCCTTCCCTAATTGGAGTAAACTAGTGAACAACAACACTTAGGCCTCTACTTCCAGCTTACACATACTATATACATTTTATGGACACAGTCAATTTTACAATATTTATATTTTGCTTGTTTTTACTCCTGAACTTCTTCCTCTACACTCAACCTCTCCAATCATTTTCATGATGTCCATCCGGTTTGAACATTAGTTATCTTGCTGTTATTAGTTGTTGTTAGTTGTTATTAGTCCCATCCTTCAGCTCCATTCCACACCTCCCATCTATCTCTTAACACCATCCATATTGGATTTCTATTTGCCATATATTTTTCAACTGTACTGTGATGTTTCACAAAAGTTCTGAACCCTTCTTTTCTCATTGTTTCAACAGATTGTATATTGAACATTTTTTTTTGTTGCTAAAACTATTATTATATTATTGATCAATTGACAATGACTTTTCAGATCACCCAGTAGTGCTATCTGCAGGCTTAGCTCCAGGTAAATATTGCAATCCTTCAGCCATTCCTGGACCTGTGACCAAAAACAAGCCACAAATGGACAGTACCAAAACAAACGATCTAATGATTCTGTCTCTTCGCAGGAAAATCTGCAGAGCTGGGAAGATTGTATCCCCCATATAAATAACATTCTATTGGTATCAAGAATGTTGTATAATAATTTAAATTGAAAAATTATAAGTTTTGAATCCGGCGTCATTTTGTGTATCAGTTCATGAACACTATGCCATGGAATCGGTACGTCAAAAATCTCTTCCCAACTATTTTGCAATCTATATGGGACGGCTGTCAATCCTTTGGTCCTTAAATGAAACTGGTATTCTTTTTTATTTATCGCAATGTTCTTTAACCAATTATGTTCTTTAATGCAGGGCCGACAGACAAGTTCCTTACTTTTTCCCACTTCCACTTTCCTCTTCCATTTTTGCGGTAATGCTGCAATTATTTGGTTGTAATTTTGGGTAGAGCAGACATTTCCATATGTTTTTGTTAGCTGCATGTGCGACATAACTCCAACAGTCCTACCTATGATATCATTTACGAAGATCACACCTTTTTAAAACATTTTTTCAATTAGTATATTTGAGTTTAACCACAATATTTGTTGCATTATTTGTTCTGTCGTTTCTGGAGGATTAAATTGAAATTGCAACCAACTTTCTATGGCTTGTTTTAGAAATAGTGATATTTGGGAGGCGGTAGGCGGTAAATTAGTTAATAGGCCAATAAGAAAGAGAGTTCCAAACCTCTCTATCAAAAACAGCTAGTTTTCAGTTTTCCCCTCCCCACTCAGACCACTCCCAGAGAGTCCTAGCAAAAATCTTGCTTGAGAAATTGCTCTTTGCTAAGAAGCAATTAAAATAAAAAAAATTTGAACATTTTAAACAAAAAACAATCACAGTATGGTACTTAATTGTTACCCAGAAATGATTTGATATTAAGATAAAAACGGCTGCATTGGACCTTTAACAGTGATTTATGTATGTATTTCAGTCAGAAGAGCTGCACAGAAGACATTGCACTAATGGTAGGTACAGTTGGACCCTGTGTTAAATAACGTGTTTGGATGTCTATCTCTATAGTTTTGGGTATGCTGTATAGGGAATTGGTTTGCAACTGAAGAAAAATTATTTATTTTGCATTGTTTTTTATACTTTTTTTTTTCTTGCTGTGTGAGGGTTGTGTGTTTTGGACTTATCCTGGAAATACTGTTTGGCTACCAGTTTTGATTGAACAAGGCCAAAAGTCTCTAAAAATAGCATATCTTAAATGCAACTAAAGCTTATCGTCCAGTTCCCAATCCCAAATATTGCCTCTGTTTGCACAAAGATTTAGTTAATTACCCAAATCTGCTTAGTTCTCTGTGTCTCAGTCATGAATGAATCAATGCTGAGGTCATTCTTCAATCCTTTGTCTGTGGTTCCAAAAGCCAGGAAGAGGCCTGCCACTGAATAGAAATGACTGTTTACGTAATCCGTCTTGTATTCACAGCTTCCCTTTAAAACTACAAACGCCCTTTTGATTAACGTTTTCCCTTTTCCCTTTAGACATTGATTGAAAGATTATTTTTTTAAATCAAAGAGTATTTCTGTAATTGCCTTGGGAATGAAATGGCTTGCAGATAGATAGATATTTCAGACTGATGCGTTGAATAGGGATCGCTGTACGTATAGCCTATAGCCTACGTATAGTCCTCCGTCAAAAACACAGTTCTCGTTCGTTCACCGAGGGATAAGTTGGAAAAATAAAAGATATAATGAGATACTATAATTTATTTCCTCCGAGGCCCCAGTTGAATACTACCAGTTCAGTTCCTTTGGTCAATTATTCATAGGGATCTGAGTTTTAAATCCTGACCAGTGCCTCCCTGCAACCTGCCCTTGTTATTATTACTATTTTTCAGCTTTTGATATTAAAATAATGTGTCTCAACATATTGCTGCATAACATTTGGGAGGCTAATAAACAAAAGAAGCACATTGGGACTATTCAGAAGTTTGTTGTTTTCCTTGATCATTTAGCCACGCCTTTGTTCTATGGCTTTCTATTCCTATGTGATTTCTCTCTGGTATGTCATGTAGGGTTTAAAGCCATTGGGTACAGAGTGGAAATGCATCCAGGGTACCGACTGTATCCTAAATATAAACCATGAGGAAGGAATATCACTTTGCCTCTATCACTTGCAGATAGTCATGGCCCCTTTAATTATTGTACATCTATTATTTATTGATTCATAACCATAGATATCACAAAATCTGGTCTCCAAATCAACAATAGGATATTCATATAAATTAATAAAAAATAGCCTAATAATATTTTTGGTCAGAAAATGAATCAAATCAGCTGTCCATCATTTAGTGATAGCCTAAAGCAGAAACACCTTCTATCCTTTGTGTTGGAGATAGGATGTAGTCTCCTGTCACATCCTTATCCTCTCTCCAGCTGCTCAGTCCCCTATCGACATCTGCCTAGATGCCTAGAGCACTGTTTAAAAACCTGTCATTCCTCCCTGACTGGAGAAAATGTAATGAGGTTGGTTCTCTATCACTGTCTATCTCCATACGCCAGTAAATCTGCCTCAGTCACCTTGTTTGGCAGTAGTTTGGCATGTGTATCCTTTTTAAACAGCTGTTTACTCACATCATCCACCTAGTTAAGGAGTAAATAAAACCTGTCTCTGAGAAAACTAGCAGGAAGATGGGAATGGCTGCTGTAGCCACTGGGTGTAATAATGTAAGTCACTTGTAGCAAAACGAGGACCCAAGCCCTCCTCTGTGATTTCATGGGAAACAAACCCAACCCAGACACATACCCAACCCTACATACAGGTAGGCAAACTGGTTACAGGATATTTGTTACTCAAGTCCTTGAGGGTATAGTTTAGGCCTACCTTTCAAGCCGGTAAACTAATAAGCATCCTCTCTTTTCTTCTGCAAGCATGAATGGATGCTCAAGCTTCCACATTCTCTCCACGTCTTGCAGTCTTTATGCCAGCCTAAAAGACAGAAGACAGGAAAAATCGATAACTATGGAGGGACCGGAGGATATGGAAAACGACTGGGCCAGAGGTAGGTTACCTATTTATATAGGACAAACCTGGTAAAGTAGAACAATCTACCTGGTGCTTCCCCAAATGATGCCCCAGCCAGCCTCACATGTAAATGTAGAAACGTCTTTAGTCAAAGGGACATTTGTAAAAGCAAGCGTGATGTGAAAAAGCATCCAATCAAGATGCAGCACAATAGTCATTTGGCGCCAATTCGAAAAACAGCGCACAACCAGACCGTGCCCGCAGTACCAGCCAAACAAAGGTAAATACTTTAAGGCTATAAGTGCTAAATAATGCATAAAAACGGTATCAACAACTAATGTCAGTTAATACTATTAAAGTGAAATGCCACTGACGTAGCTAAGGAATCATGACTAGTCTGATTCAATTAGCATAGTTAGCTAACTTAGTGTATGTAGCTAATCATACTGCCTGCTCCAACAGTTGCAGCTGCTTGCTTGACTGTGTTTGCTGTCAAATCAAGTGACTCGTGCCCACTGCCCTCTTCCAGCAAGCACCTGTTCCTTGAGCTGAGTGTGTAGTTGGCTTACCGGCAGGGTAGACGCCGTAGCTAACTAGCAACTATTGCTGGTTCATTGGCATTGGACCGTCTCTCTACTTGAGTAGCTAGCTTGCTAAACAAGTTGGCATATTGCTTGCTTTGGTGTATCGGTCGGCCCCTGGACATGCCCGTGTTTGTAGAAGACCCCGCTCAGTTCTCCAAGCGGAGACTGAAGTCGGAGTTAATAGCCCACAACGTCAAGCTGCCTGCGGTGGACAGCAATAAGCAAGTTTATGTGGAACTATATTTGAAACACATCGGTCAGAAAAGTGCTGCAGATTTCTCTAGTGATGAGGAGGTTGACCAGGAACAAGATGTTGTGGAAGTACAGGACAGTCAGGACTGTGTGAGTAGAGCTCTCATGTCAATCGGATGGCTAGCTAATTATTTTGTATCAAGTAGCTCGAGTGAAACGCTTTATAAAGTACATTGGATCAAACCAACAGATTTGTGTTCTTCTGATCTAGATCAATTGAGCTTTCTATACCCAGTCCTCATAATCTATTTGGGAATAGGTATCGATCCCATATAAACTCTGATCGTAAGTAATTTATGCGGTTTTAACCAATCAGCATCCAGGATTAGACCCACCCGTTGTATAATATTGTGTGCCCCTCCCCTAATCAGTCATTTTCTCACCAGGGAACGTTCAAATGGTTTTAGCTTAGCAGAGCTAGGCAACTATATACTAATACTATACTTTACTTTATACTATACTAACATTTTCCATGCAGTGTTTACAATATGGTTTCATGGTCTATGGGCTCAGATCTTCTGGTAAACTAAGTTAAACATGTTCTTGATACTGTCCCAGGGTGACTGCCTAAAGTAAAGGGAGCACACTGGATGGCATGCAGCTGTTGTAACCCCATATCAACTGATACCCTGAACTCTGCAAGGTCAGCTATATAGTTGGCCTGGCTGGTAGGACTGCAGGGGAGGGTAGAAGAAAGCAGGGAGGGGCCCATGGCGGGAGGGAGGGGGAGGGGGGGGGGGTCTTCCTGAACTGGGTCACCAATGCCATGCTGTCATTCAGTGTGGTTTCACACTTAGCTTTACGTTTTACTGCACTAACCAGCAGTTGTAGTTATATATTTAAATGTGAGAACGTATTGTAGGGAATGATTGCCAACAAGCACATTAGTTGTTGTTGATCACTTCTTTTTGCACCTGTTTATATCTGTGCTCTGCTCTGAGGAGGGGGTTGTGGGTTGTCACTAGTTACCACAGCGACAAAGTCAAAATTGTCTATCTAAAGATTCAACAAGATTTAGCGTTTTGGTCTTAATTTAAGGTTAGCACTATGGTTAAGATTAGGGTTAGGTCTGGTTGCATCACCGCCTGGTATGGCAACTGCTCGGCATCTGACCATAAGGGCTACAGAGACTACAGTAGTGGTGCTCGGGTCAGCTGTTTGTTTACCCGCACCTGCCCGCAATTTCTAATAACCCATCCACAACTGCCTGACTATATGTGATGAAGTGAAAATCTGAGGCCTGAACTCAACCTTAACCCACAAATATATAAAATGTGCTATAGGCTACAGTCAGACTGCAGAACGATTTTTTGACAGGGGGTGCAGGATTTTGTTTTGCCTGATTTAGATAGGTTTTTGCTTATAATTTCCGACATTTTGTTAGGCTATTTGTTAGTCAACTTGTCTATAATTAGATACAGTGAGGAGAACAAGTATTTGATACACTGCCGATTTTGCAGGTTTTCCTACTTACAAAGCATGTAGAGGTCTGTAATTTTTATCATAGGTACACTTCAACTGTGAGAGACGGAATCTAAAACAAAAATCCAGAAAATCACATTGTATGATTTTTAAGTAATTAATTTGCATTTTATTGCATGACATAAGTATTTGATCACCTACCAACCAGTAAGAATTCCGGCTCTCACAGATCTGTTAGTTTTTCTTTAAGAAGCCCTCCTGTTCTCCACTCATTACCTGTATTAACTGCACCTGTTTGAACTCGTTACCTGTATGAAAGACACCTGTCCACACACTCAATCAAACATACTCCAACCTCTCCACAATGGCCAAAACCAGAGAGCTGTGTAAGGACATCGGGGATAATATTGTAGACCTGCACAAGGCTGGGATGGGCTACAGGACAATAGGCAAGCAGCTTGGTGAGAAGGCAACAACTGTTGGCGCAATTATTAGAAAATTGAAGAAGTTCAAGATGACGGTCAATCACCCTCGGTCTGGGGCTCCATGCAAGATCTCACCTCGTGGGGCATCAATGATCATGAGGAAGGTGAGGGATCAGCCCAGAACTACATGGCAGGACCTGTTCAATGACCTGAAGAGAGCTGGGACCACAGTCTCAAAGAAAACCATTAGTAACACACTACGCCGTCATGGATTAAAATCCTGCAGCGCACGCAAGGTCCCCCTGCTCAAGCCAGCGCATCTCCAGGCCCGTCTGAAGTTTGCCAAAGACCATCTAGATGATCCAGAGAAGGAATGGGAGAAGGTCATGTGGTCTGATGAGACAAAAATAAACTCCACTCGCCATGTTTGGAGGGAGAAGAAGGATGAGTACAACCCCAAGAACACCATCCCAACCGTGAAGCATGGAGGTGGAAACATCATTCTTTGGGGATGCTTTTCTGCAAAGGGGACAGGACGACTGCACCGTATTGAGGGGAGGATGGATGGGGCCATGTATTGCGAGATCTTGGCCAACAACCTCCTTCCCTCAGTAAGAGCATTGAAGATGGGTCGTGGCTGGGTCTTCCAGCATGACAACGACCCGAAACACACAGCCAGGGCAACTAAGGAGTGGCTCCGTAAGAAGCATCTCTAGGTCCTGGAGTGGCCTAGCCAGTCTCCAGACCTGAACCCAATAGAAAATCTTTGGAGGGAGCTGAAAGTCCGTATTGCCCAGCGACAGCCTCGAAACCTGAAGGATCTGGAGAAGGTCTGTATGGAGGAGTGTGCCAAAATCCCTGCTGCAGTGTGTGCAAACCTGGTCAAGACCTGCAGGATACGTATGATCTCTGTAATTGCAAACAAAGGTTTCTGTACCAAATATTAAGTTCTGCTTTTCTGATGTATCAAATACTTATGTCATGCAATAAAATGCAAATTAATTACTTAAAAATCATACAATGTGATTTTCTGGATTTTTGTTTTAGATTCTGTCTCTCACAGTTGAAGTGTACCTATGATAGAAATTACAGACCTCTACATGCTTTGTAAGTAGGAAAACCTGCAAAATCGGCAGTGTATCAAATACTTGTTCTCCCCACTGTACATGTAGCTTCTCTTTTGTCATTATATGTTGCCCTACACGACTAAATAAACCCTTGCTCAACAGAATAATGTAATAGATCGATAGAATGAATGCTTCAATCTAGTTGACACCGGTAAAGTGTTCTGTCATCTTTCGCGGAGCAAAGACGTTTATGGACTGGGGAGAAAATACAATAAAGCATGCATATTTTATGTGGTTGAAATACTACCAGCTTTTATTATGCTTTTACGCTGAAGACAGCACCTCTACAGATCGTATCTAACTGAGCATTGCATTCTCTCAAGATGCAGAAAGAAATAACTAATATTTCTCCACTCCTGTTCCCAAGTCCAAATATGACCTACATTTGGTGTATCATTTTACTGCAAGAAATGCTTAATTCTGCAGGAGTTATTATTAAGACTATGGCCCTATTCGCACGGGACTAGTATTACTAGAGAACGTTGATTATGTATTTATTACCCCAGAATGTATGTTATTCCTGAGGACGATTCGGACGGGATACGTTTTTTCCAAACTGCCCCCTGTAATGATTCTTTATACATTGACAGTTCTGACGGAATCCTGGAGTTTCTTTTTCTAGGTGTGAAGATATTTCAACAAGTCCAGGCGATAACAGGATACTCTTGATAACTCGAGCTTGGTTCCCAAGTTTCTAAACCATATCAAACCATATTTGGTATAGTGTCGCCATAATATTTGAATTGAGAAGTGTGATCATAATCATTAGGCTATTTTACCGATCCGCAGTAGAAGACTTCCTAAATGCCCCCCAGCCTTCAAATGTGAGTTTAACAGCGAACTTGCACTTGATATGCGTTTTTAGGCTATGGATGAGAAAGTGAACTTGTTTCAAAAGTGTAGCTCAGTTGTATGCTGCTTTGCGATCTATTAACAGCAAGGGTTGCATTAAATAGGCGCAATATTGTTTAATGATTCATTTGACGATGTTCAATTCATTCGCACAAAACGTATAAACAAAAGTTGATACATGTAGGCCATTCATATATATGCTATGCGCAGCTCTTCGTTCAGTTTATCCAATCAGTTCTTGTTTCTTGTTTTCTTGCTCAAACCGCGTGTAACACCTGTAAAACTCAGACATTTTCTCTCAAAACACAGGGATGTCGATTCGCACGGGACTAGCATTATCAGAAGACTTTGGAGTTTGCCAAAAAACTATAGGTTATTATGGTTAGTCGTCCAGATTTCAGTTTTAATTTAACCCATCTAAACAGTAGGCTACAGTTCCCTTGACATGTCTTAGGCCTGTCTTGTGACTGTCGAATTTGTAAAGCACCTCACACTCATCCCACATAACACTAATTTACCGCTTCACCAAATCTTTTCCAAACATTACTTTTCTGGCCCTCCCTTTCCAACTCTCATTTCGCAGCATTTGTCTTATCCTTTTTGCCTCGGATTGATGTTAACTTTTTCTGCCGTTCCCAAAAGCATCATTTGGGTATTGGCTGTGTAGGCAATTTGGCGCGCATACATTTAAGCCCTAAAGTTTAGGTTTATGCACTAATACCAGATAGCCTAAAATAATGGGGGGAAAAACTCAATATAGACTATATAAATTGCACAATAATTATACATTTATGGATTTTTCAAGGTATTGTTTCTCTTTATTCCACCTGCCCTCGACCCCCACCTGCCCTACAGCCACACAACATTTAATGACCCTAAACCCAACCCTGCGGATATAACCGCTGGGACTGCGGGTTATGAGTCAACCCACGCATCACTAGCATACGGGATACGCCATAGGTCTGCTGAACAACTAATCAAATGGATACCCGGACTATTTGCATTGACCCTCCCCTTTTTTTACGCTGCTGCTACTCGCGGTTTATTAACTATGCATAGTCACTTTACCCCTACCTACATGTACATATTAGCTCAATTACCTAGACTAACCTGTACCCCTGAACATTGACTCGGTACCTGTACCCCCTGTATTTAGCCTCATTATTGTTATTTTATTGTGTTACTTTTTTTAACTTGCGTTTATTTAGTAAATATTTTCTTAACTCTTATTTTCTTAACTGCATTGTTTGTTAAGGGCTTGTAAGTAAGCATTTCAGGTAAGGTCTACACCTGATGTATTCAGCACACGTGACAAATAAAATTTGATTTGATTTGGTTTAGCCATAATGATGACTTTGTGGCTATGGTAACTAGCGACGACCGGGGTTGTGTTCTCATGATGTCTTCTCAGCTGCTTTCTCTGGTCGAACACATGCTTGATGCTTTCAAAGGCTGCTGCTGGACCTGATTGTCATCTTTGCAACTTGCAATACTGTCAGCTAGTCTGTCAATGAATATATATGAACATGGATAAGGGCTAGAACCAAGCATTATGGATAAATTCAATTGTAGACAAAACAGGGTGACTTTTGTAGAAGCTGTATAGGGGGTGGAATTTGAACCGCTGTAAAACCAGCACTTTGTACAACTTGCCGTTATATTGATGTTCTGCTGTAACAGCTAGCTTATCATCTTGATGTTTGGATCAGCATTCAATTGTCATTATAGTAGACATGATACATGTATATTTATATCATTATGATCAACATGACTAGTTTAAGAGACGGTTCTCAGTTATGGTAAAAGTTGTGTAATGTGTTTTCATCATACCTGGTCATTTCCTTTTCCTGTCCCCACAGGAAGAGGAGGAGGAGGAGAAGAAGAAAGATCCAGAGATGTTAGACCCCTGTGGACTGACGGATGACGAGCTCAAGACCACACTGCTCAAATATGGAGTGGAAGCTGGACCCATTGTAGGTGAGATAATTCCCAGACTACACTGTTTTACACTGTCTATTTATCTATCTACAGTGAGGGAAAAAAGTATTTGATCCCCTGCTGATTTTGTACGTTTGCCCACTGACAAAGAAATGATCAGTCTATAATTTTAATGGTAGGTTTATTTGAACAGTGAGAGACAAAATAACAACAAACAAATCCAAAGAAACGCATGTCAAAAATTTTATGAATTGATTTGCATTTTAATGAGGGAAATAATTATTTGACCCCCTCTCAATCAGAAAGATTTCTGGCTCCCAGGTGTCTTTTATACAGGTAACGAGCTGAGATTAGGAGCACACTCTTAAAGGGAGTGCTCCTAATCTCAGCTTGTTACCTGTATAAAAGACACCTGTCCACAGAAGCAATCAATCAATCAGATTCCAAACTCTCCACCATGGCCAAGACCAAAGAGCTCTCCAAGGATGTCAGGGACAAGATTGTAGACCTACACAAGGCTGGAATGGGCTACAAGACCATCGCCAAGCAGCTTGGTGAGAAGGTGACAACAGTTGGTGCGATTATTCGCAAATGGAAGAAACACAAAAGAACTGTCAATCTCCCTCGGCCTGGGGCTCCATGCAAGATCTCACCTCATGGAGTTGCAATGATCATGAGAACGGTGAGGAATCAGCCCAGAACTACATGGGAGGATCTTTTCAATGATCTCAAGGCAGCTGGGACCATAGTCACCAAGAAAACAATTGGTAACACACTACGCCGTGAAGGACTGAAATCCTGCAGCGCCCGCAAGGTCCCCCTGCTCAAAAAAGCACATATACAGGCCCGTCTGAAGTTTGCCAATGAACATCTGAATGATTCAGAGAAGAACTGGGTGAAAGTGTTGTGGTCAGATGAGACCAAAATGGAGCTCAACTCAACTCGCCGTGTTTGGAGGAGGAGGAATGCTGCCTATGACCCCAAGAACACCATCCCCACCGTCAAACATGGAGGTGGAAACATTATGCTTTGGGGGTGTTTTTCTGCTAAGGGGACAGGACAACTTCACTGCATCAAAGGGACGATGGACGGGGCCATGTACCGTCAAATCTTGAGTGAAAACCTCCTTCCCTCAGCCAGGGCATTGAAAATGGGTCGTGGATGGGTATTCCAGCATGACAATGACCCAAAACACACGGCCAAGGCAACAAAGGAGTGGCTCAAGAAGAAGCAAATTAAGGTCCTGGAGTGGCCTAGCCAGTCTCCAGACCTTAATCCCATAGAAAATCTGTGGAGGGAGCTGAAGGTTCGAGTTGCCAAACGTCAGCCTCGAAACCTTAATGACTTGGAGAAGATCTGCAAAGAGGAGTGGGACAAAATACCTCCTGAGATGTGTGCAAACCTGGTGGCCAACTACAAGATACATCTGACCTCTGTGATCGCCAACAAGGGTTTTGCCACCAAGTACTAAGTCATGTTTTGCAGAGGGGTCAAATACTTATTTCCCTCATTAAAATGCAAATCAATTTCTAACATTTTTGACATGCGTTTTTCTGAATTTTGTTGTTGTTATTCTGTCTCTCACTGTTCAAATAAATCTACCATTAAAATTATAGACTGATCATGTCTTTGTCAGAGGGCAAACGTACAAAATAAGCAGGAGATCAAATACTTTTTTCCCTCACTGTATATATTATTATACAATGTATTCTCTTCTGATGTGTGTGTGAGAGATAGCCACCACTAGGTCTATATATGAGAGGAAGCTGCAGAGGCTACTAAAACCTGCCCAGCCCAGGCAGAACGGTGGCACAGGGGATGCAGACCAGTACTCGGACAGTGAAGGGGAGGAGGAGTCGGGTATGATCATTAAGATGCTACTTTCTAATGTCAACTTTGGGATCAGGGTGAATGTTTGTTTTTATATAGTACCAATCAAAAGTTTGGACACACCTACTTATTCCAGGGTTTTTCTTTATTTTTACTATTTTCTACATTGTAGAATAATAGTGAAGACATCAAAACTATGAAATAACACACATGGAATCATGTAGTGACCAAAAAAGTGTTAAACAAATCAAAATATATCTTATATTTGAGATTCTTCAAATAGCCACCCTTTGCCTTGATGACAGCTTTGCACACTCTTGGCATTCTCTCAACCAGCTTCATGAAGTAGTCACCTGGAATGCATTTCAATTAACAGATGTGCCTTGTTAAAAGTTAATTTATGGAATTTCTTTCCTTCTTAATGTGTTTGAGCCAATCAGTTGTGTTGTGACATGGTAGGGGTGGTATAGAGAAGATAGTCCTATTTGGTAAAAGACCAAGTCCATATTATTGCAAGAACAGCTCAAATAAGCAAAGAGAAACGACAGTCCATCATTACTTTAAGACATGAATGTCAGTCAATACGGACCATTTAAAGAACTTTGAAAGTTTCTTCAAGGGCAGTCGCAAAAACCATCAAGCGCTATGATGAAACTGGCTCTCATGAGGACCGCCAAAGGAAAGGAAGACCCAGAGTTACCTCTGCTGCAGAGGATGAGTTCATTAGAGTTAACTGCACCTCAGATTGCAGCCCAAATAAATGCTTCACAGAGTTGAAGTAACAGACACATCTCAACATCAACTGTTCAGAGGAGACTGCGTGAATCAGGCCTTCATGGTCGAATTGTTGCAAAGAAACCACTACTAAAGGACACCGTTAAGAAGAAGAGACTTGCTTGGGCCAAGAAACACGAGCAATGGACATTAGACCGGTGGAAATCTGTCCTTTGGTCTGATGAGTCCAAATGTAATATTGTTGGTTCCAACCGCTGTGTCTTTGTGAGACGCAGAGTAGGTGAATGGATTATCTCTGCATGTGTGGTTTCCACCATGAAGCATGGAGGAGGAGGTGTGATGGTGTGGGGGTGCTTTGCTGGTGACACTGTCTGTGATTTATTTAGAATTCAAGTCACACTTAACCAGCATGGCTACCACAGCATTCTGCAGCGATACGCCATCCCATCTGGTTTGCGCTTAGTGGGACTATCATTTGTTTTTCAACAGGATAATGACCCAAAACACACCTCTAGGCTGTGTAAGGGCTATTTGACCAAGAAGGAGAGTGATGGAGTGCTGCATCAGATGACCTGGCCTCCACAATCCCCCGACCTCAACCCAATTTTGATGGTTTGGGATGAGTTAGACCGCAAAGTGAAGGGAAAGCAGCCACCAAGTGCTCATTATATGTGGGAACTCCTTCAAGACTGTTGGAAAAGCATTCCTCATGAAGCTGGTTGAGAGAATGCCAAGAGTGTGCAAAGCTGTCAAGGGAAATGGTGGCTACTTTCAAGAATCTAAAATCTAAAATATATTTTGTTTAACACTTTTTTGGTTAGTACATGATTCCATATGTGTTATTTCATAGTTTTGATGTCTTCACTATTATTCTACAATGTAAAGAAAGAAAAACCCTTGAATGAATAGGTGTGTCCAAACTTTTGACTGGTGTGTGTGTATGTATGTATGTATATATATATATATATATATATATATATATATATATATATATATATATATATATATATATACACACAGTGAGGGGGAAAAAAGTATTTGATCCCCTGCTGATTTTGTACGTTTGCCCACTGACAAAGACATGATCTGTCTATAATTTTAATGGTAGGTTTATTTGAACAGTGAGAGACAGAATAACAACAAAAAAATCCAGAAAAAAACGCATGTCAAAAATGTTATAAATTGATTTGCATTTTAATGAGGGAAATAAGTATTTGACCCCCTCTCAATCAGAAAGATTTCTGGCTCCCAGGTGTCTTTTTATACAGGTAACGAGCTGAGATTAGGAGCACACTCTTAAAGGGAGTGCTCCTAATCTCATCTTGTTACCTGTATAAAAGACACCTGTCCACAGAAGCAATCAATCAATCAATCATATTCCAAACTCTCCACCATGGCCAAGACCAAAGAGCTCTCCAAGGATGTCAGGGACAAGATTGTAGACCTACACAAGGCTGGAATGGGCTACAAGACCATCGCCAAGCAGCTTGGTGAGAAGGTGACAACAGTTGGTGCGATTATTCGCAAATGGAAGAAACACAAAAGAACTGTCAATCTCCCTCGGCCTGGGGCTCCATGCAAGATCTCACCTCGTGGAGTTGCAATGATCATGAGAACGGTGAGGAATCAGCCCAGAACTACACGGGAGGATCTTGTCAATGATCTCAAGGCAGCTGAGACCATAGTCACCAAGAAAACAATTGGTAACACACTACGCCGTGAAGGACTGAAATCCTGCAGCGCCCGCAAGGTCCCCCTGTTCAAGAAAGCACATATACAGGGCCGTCTGAAGTTTGCCAATGAACATCTGAATGATTCAGAGGAGAACTGGGTGAAAGTGTTGTGGTCAGATGAGACCAAAATCGAGCTCTTTGGCATCAACTCAACTCGCCGTGTTTGGAGGAGGAGGAATGCTGCCTATGACCCCAAGAACACCATCCCCACTGTCAAACATGGAGGTGGAAACATTATGCTTTGGGGGTGTTTTTCTGCTAAGGGGACAGGACAACCTCACCGCATCAAAGGGACGATGGACGGGGCCATGTACCGTCAAATCTTGGGTGATAACCTCCTTCCCTCAGCCAGGGCATTGAAAATGGGTCGTGGATGGGTATTCCAGCATGACAATGACCCAAAACACACGGCCAAGGCAACAAAGGAGTGGCTCAAGAAGAAGCACATTAAGGTCCTGGAGTGGCCTAGCCAATTTCCAGACCTTAATCCCATAGAAAATCTGTGGAGGGAGCTGAAGGTTCGAGTTGCCAAACGTCAGCCTCGAAACCTTAATGACTTGGAGAAGATCTGCAAAGAGGAGTGGGACGAAATCCCCTGAGATGTGTGCAAACCTGGTGGCCATCTACAAGAAACATCTGACCTCTGTGATTGCCAACAAGGGTTTTGCCACCAAGTACTAAGTCATGTTTTGCAGAGGGGTCAAATACTTATTTCCCTCATTAAAATGCAAATCAATTTATAACATTTTTGATATGTGTTTTTCTGGATTTTGTTGTTGTTATTCTGTCTCACTGTTCAAATAAACCTACCATTTTAAAATTATAGACTGATCATGTCTTTGTCAGTGGGCAAACGTACAAAATCAGCAGGGGATCAAATACTTTTTTCCCTTACTATATACAGCTGCGAAAAAAATTAAGAGACCACTGCAAAATTATCAGTTTCTCTGGTTTGGGTAAAAATAACATTTTTGTTTTATTTTATAAACTACTGACAACATTTCTCCCAAATTCCAAATAAAGATATTGTAATTTAGAGCATTTATTTGCAGAAAATGACAACTGGTCAAAATAAAAAAATATATATAGTGTTGTCAGACCTCGAATAATGCAAAGAAAATAAGTTCATGTTAATTTTTAAACAACACAATAGTAATGTTTTATCTTAGGAAGAGTTCAGAAATCAATATTTGGTGGAATAACCCTGATTTTCAATCACAGCTTTCATGCGTCTTGGCATGCTCTCCACCAGTCTTTCACATTGATGTTGGGTGACTTTATGCCACTCCTGGCGCAAAAATTCAAGCAGCTCGGCTTTGTTTGATGGCTTGTGACCATCTATCTTCCTCTTGATCACATTCCAGAAGTTTTCAATGGGGTTCAGGTCTGTAGATTGGGCTGGCCATGACAGGGTCTTGATCTGGTGGTCCTCCATCCACACCTTGATTGAACTGGCTGTGTGGCATGGCGCATTATCCTGCTGGAAAAAACAATCCTCCGAGTTGGGGAACAATGTCAGAGCAAAAGGAAGCAAGTTTTCTTCCAGGACAACCTTGTACGTGGCTTGATTCATGCGTCCTTCACGAAGACAAATCTGCCCGATTCTAGCCTTGCTGAAGCACCCCCAGATCATCACCGATCCTCCACCAAATTTCACAGTGGGTGCGAGACACTGTGGCTTGTAGGCCTCTCCAGGTCTCGTCTAACCATTAGACGACCAGGTGTTGGGCAAAGCTGAAAATTGGACTCATCAGAGAAGATGACCTTACTCCAGTCCTCTACGGTCCAATCCTTATGGTCTTTTGCAAACCTCAGCCTGACTCTTCTTTGCTTCTCATTGACGAAGGGCTTTTTTCTAGCTTTGCATGACTTCAGCCCTGCCCCTAGGAGCTGCCATTCTTTTTGTAGGTCACTTGATGTCATCCTACGGTTGTTGAGTGACATTCGAATGAGTTGGCGGTCATTCTGGTCAGTAGAGAGTTGTTTTCGCACTCTGCCGGTCTGTAGCTTTGTTGTCTCCAATGTCTGCTGCTTGACCTTGTTCTTATGAACTGACGTCTTTGAAATTTTAAGGATGGAAGCAACCTGACGCTCACTGTATCCCTCTGCCAGTAAAGCCAGAATTGAACCCTTCTTTTCCTCTCAACTTTCCTTTTCAACTCTTTTGGCATGGTCAATAGTTATTTTTTGATTAATATTACTTTTGAGGTGCTATTAGCACTGTTTTTGCCATCCAGCTGGTCCTATTGCAAGAGGATAGTGATGACCACAGCAGTGGTTTTTATACTTTTCCTCGTTAAATAAGATTTGGTTCATGTGATCACCTAATCAGTACCTAATTCAGTAGAATGAGGTGTGCCTGTGTTGGAATTCATCAAACACTGGAATAGAATGGCTGTCATACATTTGCAGTGGTCTCTTAATTTTTTCCACAGCTGTGTGTGTGTGTATATATATATATATGTGTGTGTGTGTATGTATATGTATATGTGTGTATATATATATATATATATATATATATATATATATATATATATATATATATATATATATATATATATATATATATATATATATATATATAATATATATACATACACACACAGTGGGGGAAAAAAGTATTTAGTCAGCCACCAATTGTGCAAGTTCTCCCACTTAAAAAGATGAGAGAGGCCTGTAATTTTCATCATAGGTACACGTCAACTATGACAGACAAAATGAGAAAAGAAAATCCAGAAAATCACATTGTAGGATTTTTATGAATTTATTTGCAAATTATGGTGGAAAATAAGTATTTGGTCAATAACAAAAGTTTCTCAATACTATGTTATATACCCTTTGTTGGCAATGACACAGGTCAAACGTTTTCTGTAAGTCTTCACAAGGTTTTCACACACTGTTGCTGGTATTTTGGCCCATTCCTCCATGCAGATCTCCTCTAGAGCAGTGATGTTTTGGGGCTGTCGCTGGGCAACACGGACTTTCAACTCCCTCCAAATATTTTCTATGGAGTTGAGATCTGGAGACTGGCTAGGCCACTCCAGGACCTTGAAATGCTTCTTACGAAGCCAGTCCTTCGTTGCCCGGGCGGTGTGTTTGGGATCATTGTCATGCTGAAAGACCCAGCCACGTTTCATCTTCAATGCCCTTGCTGATGGAAGGAGGTTTTCACTCAAAATCTCACGATACATGGCCCCATTCATTCTTTCCTTTACAAAGATCAGTCGTCCTGGTCCCTTTGCAGAAAAACAGCCCCAAAGCATGATGTTTCCACCCCCATGCTTCACATTAGGTATGGTGTTCTTTGGCTGCAACTCAGCATTCTTTGTCCTCCAAACACGACGAGTTGAGTTTTTACCAAAAACTTATATTTTGGTTTCATCTGACCATATGACATTCTCCCAATCCTCTTCTGGATCATCCAAATGCACTCTAGCAAACTTCAGACGGGCCTGGACATGTACTGGCTTAAGCAGGGGGACACGTCTGGCACTGCAGGATTTGAGTCCCTGGCGGCGTAGTGTGTTACTGATGGTAGGCTTTGTTACTTTGGTCCCAGCTCTCTGCAGGTCATTCACTAGGTCCCCCCGTGTGGTTCTGGGATTTTTGCTCACCGTTCTTGTGATCATTTTGACCCCACGGGGTGAGATCTTGCGTTGAGCCCCAGATCGATGGAGATTATCAGTGGTCTTGTATGTCTTCCATTTCCTAATAATTGCTCCCACAGTTGATTTCTTCAAACCAAGCTGCTTACCTATTGCAGATTCAGTCTTCCCAGCCTGGTGCAGGTCTACAATTTTGTTTCTGGTGTCCTTTGACAGCTCTTTGGTCTTGGCCATAGTGGAGTTTGGAGTGTGACTGTTTGAGGTTGTGGACAGGTGTCTTTTATACTGATAACAAGTTCAAACAGGTGCCATTAATACAGGTAATGAGTGGAGGACAGAGGAGACTCTTAAAGAAGAAGTTACAGGTCTGTGAGAGCCAGAAATCTTGCTTGTTTGTAGGTGACCAAATACTTATTTTCCACCATAATTTGCAAATAAATTCATTAAAAATCCTACAATGTGATTTTCTGGAATTTTTTTTCTCAATTTGTCTGTCATAGTTGACGTAGTTGACGGAATCTAATAACAAAAATCCAGAAAATCACATTGTATGATTTTTAAGTAATTAATTTGCATTTTATTGCATGACATAAGTATTTGATACATCAGAAAAGCAGAACTTAATATTTGGTACAGAAACCTTTGTTTGCAATTACAGAGATCATACGTTTCCTTTAGGTCTTGACCAGGTTTGCACACACTGCAGAAGGGATTTTGGCCCACTCCTCCATACAGACCTTCTCCAGATCCTTCAGGTTTCGAGGCTGTCGCTGGGCAATACGGACTTTCAGCTCCCTCCAAAGATTTTCTATTGGGTTCAGGTCTGGAGACTGGCTAGGCCACTCCAGGACCTTGAGATGCTTCTTACGGAGCCACTCCTTAGTTGCCCTGGCTGTGTGTTTCGGGTCGTTGTCATGCTGGAAGACCCAGCCACGACCCATCTTCAATGCTCTTACTGAGGGAAGGAGGTTGTTGGCCAAGATCTCGCGATACATGGCCCCATCCATCCTCCCCTCAATACGGTGCAGTCGTCCTGTCCCGTTTGCAGAAAAGCATCCCCAAAGAATGATGTTTCCACCTCCATGCTTCACGGTTGGGATGGTGTTCTTGGGGTTGTACTCATCCTTCTTCTTCCTCCAAACACGGCGAGTGGAGTTTAGACCAAAAAGCTCTATTTTTGTCTCATCAGACCACATGACCTTCTCCCATTCCTCCTCTGGATCATCCAGATGGTCATTGGCAAACTTCAGACGGGCCTGGACATGGGCTGGCTTGAGCAGGGGGACCTTGTGTGCGCTGCAGGATTTTAATCCATGACGGCGTAGTGTGTTACTAATGGTTTTCTTTGAGACTGTGGTCCCAGCTCTCTTCAGGTCATTGACCAGGTCCTGCCGTGTATTTCTGGGCTGATCCCTCACCTTCCTCATGATCATTGATGCCCCACGAGGTGAGATCTTGCATGGAGCCCCAGACCGAGGGTGATTGACCGTCATCTTGAACTTCTTCCATTTTCTAATAATTGCGCCAACAGTTGTTGCCTTCTCACCAAGCTGCTTGCCTATTGTCCTGTAGCCCATCCCAGCCTTGTGCAGGTCTACAATTTTATCCCTGATGTCCTTACACAGCTCTCTGGTCTTGGCCATTGTGGAGAGGTTGGAGTCTGTTTGATTGAGTGTGTGGACAGGTGTCTTTTATACAGGTAACGAGTTCAAACAGGTGCAGTTAATACAGGTAATGAGTGGAGAACAGGAGGGCTTCTTAAAGAAAAACTAACAGGTCTGTGAGAGCCGGAATTCTTACTGGTTGGTAGGTGATCAAATACTTATGTCATGCAATAAAATGCAAATTAATTTCTTTAAAATCATACAATGTGATTTTCTGGATTTTTGTTTTAGATTCCGTCTCTCACAGTTGAAGTGTACCTATGATAAAAATTACAGACCACTACATGCTTTGTAAGTAGGAAAACCTGCAAAATCGGCAGTGTATCAAATACTTGTTCTCCCCACTGTGTGTATATATATATATATATATATATATATATATATATATATATATATATATATATATTACAGTTGAAGTCGGAAGTTTACATACACTTAGGTTGGAGTCATTAAAACTCGTTTTTCAACCACTCCACAAATTTCTTGTTAACAAACTATAGTTTTGGCAAGTCGGTTAGGACATCTACTTTGTGCATGACACAAGGAATTTTTCCTACAATTGTTTATAGACAGATTATTTCACTTATAATTCACTGTATCACAATTCCAGTGGGTCAGACGTTTACATACACTAAGTTGACGGTGCCTTTAAACAGCTTGGAAAATTCCAGAAAATGTCATGGCTTTAGAAGCTTCTTATAGGCTAATTGACATAATTTGAGTCAATTGGAGGTGTACTTGTGGATGTATTTCAAGGCCTACCTTCAAACTCTGCCTCTTTGCTTGACATCATGGGAAAATCAAAAGAAATCAGCCAAGACCTCAGAAAAAAATTGTAGACCTCCACAAGTCTGGTTCACCCTTGGGATCTATTTCCAAACGCCTGAAGGTACCACGTTCATCTGTACAAACAATAGTACGCAAGTATAAACACCATGGGCCCACGCAGCCGTCAAACCGCTCAGGAAGGAGACGCGTTCTGTCTCCTAGAGATTAACGTACTTTGGTGTGAAAAGTGCAAATCAAACCCAGAACAACAGCAAAGGACCTTGTGAAGATGCTGGAGGAAACAGGTACAAAAGTATTTATATCCACAGTAAAACGAGTCCTATATCGACATAACCTGAAAGGCCGCTCAGCAAGGAAGAAGCCACTGCTCCAAAACCGCCATAAAAAAGCCAGATTACGGTTTGCACCTGCACATGGGGACAAAGATCGTACTTTTTGGAGAAATGTCTTGGAGAAATGTCCTCAATCCTATAGAAAATGTGTGGGCAGAACTGAAAAAGCGTGTGTGAGCAAGGAGGCCTACAAACCTGACTCAGTTACAGCAGCTCTGTCAGGAGAAATGGGCCCAAATTCACCCAACTTATTGTGGGAAGCTTGTGGAAGGCTACCCAAAACGTTTGACCCAAGTTAAACAATTTAAAGGCAATGCTACCAAATACTAATTGAGTGTATGTAAACTTCTGACCCACTGGGAATGTGATGAAAGAAATAAAAGCTGAAATAAATCATTCTCTCTACTATTATTCTGACATTTCACATTCTTAAAATAAAGTGGTGATCCTAACTGACCTAATACAAGGAATTTTTACTAGGATTAAATCTCAGGAATTGTGAAAAACTGAGTTTAAATGTATTTGGCTAAGGTGTATTATTATTTTTTATTATTATTTTTTTTCACCTTTATTTAATCAGGTAAGCCAGTTGAGAACAAGTTCTCATTTACAACTGCGACCTGGCCAAGACCTGGTATATAAACTTCCGACTTCAACTGTATTTATTATAATAATAATAATAATAATAATAATAATAAATTGCCCTCATACTGTGCTGATATACCAGAAATCAATCTAATCTAATGGGTTTCTGCCTCTAATTCAGCAGGTTCACAACAAGGAAGACCAGAGACTGTTTCATTAGTGGAGGAAAACCTGCATGTTGACATAGGGGTGAGTGCATTCATACTCTGGTTTTCAGACCCCTGATCAAAGCAAAGATCAGTAGCTATATTCAGCCTCTCATTCCATTCTTTAAGAATAGTGAATTACCTATGCAGCTACAGTATTTCATGTTCCTCAAGAAATGAAAGGAGAAAACATTGCCTGCAGTGCCATCTTGTGGCAGTAGTTGGTATCTCTGGACATCAATCTAATAATGCAAACTCTCTCTCTCAATGTAAAGATAAGTTATATTTTAGGAGTGGTTCTCAGCTAAATTATTCCTTACTTTTAATAGATGGTACGGCACTCTTGGAAAAAAAACCCCAGCTGAATATCAATATCATCAGTGTTTTATGCCTTTGTCCAGAATGGTAAATCTGCCTATTCCTTAGACCACCAGCACCATTATGTATTATTTATTCACAAATTCTACATTTTAAAATGGGTGATTGAATTATTTCATGAGTGTGATGCTTTTGTGTAATGGGATGATAATGGTGCCACCCTGGCAGCGAGTTCAGAGAGATCCGGGCCGCTTTTAATTCAATCCCAGGAGGAATGCAGGGAATCATGGGAATGTGGATGAGTCGTCCCCCACAGCAGAGTGGGGGCAGCAGCTTCCCCCCTCGCCTGTTACCCCTGGGCATGTGCTGAGCAGAACATCCTCTGTACTAGGACTGCCCACAGGTTTAGGGATATACCACTACACTCACTTAACTTTCACCCACTGTAACACTTTCATAACAACTTACTTTTTCCAGCCATTCCTCTTCAATGGGCATGGGATCGCTCCTCTTCTGCTAGCAATTCATTTAGTATATACTGAAAAAATATATAAACGCAACATGCAACAATTTCAACGATTTTACTGAGTTACAGTTCATATAAGGAAATCAGTCAATTTAAATAAATTAATTAGGCCCTAATCTATGGATTTCACATGACTGGGCAGGGGCGCAGCCATCGGTGGGCCTGGGAGGGCATAGGCCCACCCACTGGGGAGCCAGGCCCAGCCAATCAGAATGAGTTTTTCCCCACAAAAGGGCTTTATTAAAGACAGAAATACACCTGGTGAAGAAGCCGGAAGTAGAGGTCCTGGGCTGGTGTGGTTACACGTGGTCTGCGGTTGTGAGGCCGGTTGGACGTACTGCCAAAATTCTCTAAAACGACTTTGGAGGCGGCTTATGGTAGAGAAATGAACATTAAATTATCTGGCAATAGCTTTGGTGGACATTCCTGCAGTCAGCATGCCAATTGTACGCTCCCTCAACTTGAGACAACTGTGGCGTTGTGTGACAGATTTGTGCACAAAATTTGAGAGAAAAGCTTTTTGTGCAAATAGAACATTTCTGGGATATTTTATTTCAGCTCATGAAACATGGGACCAACACTTTACATGTTGCGTTTTATATTTTTGCTCAGAATAAAATGTGCTCAGTATGCATGAGTCTGGGCACTCTTCTCTCACTCCAAAGCTGGTGCAAGGATTTTGGTGGGTTTCTTTCACTTATGGAGAGTATCTAAGAGATCAAGCAAGCTGTTGAAGTTCTGTCCTAACCCCTGCAGGTGCCACCACAGTCTGTGTCTCCGAGAGGCAGTCGTGTTGCTGACTCCTCCTATTCGTCCTCTCAGAGCTTCAGCATTACTCAGATGGTGGAGGAGGGAAGTTTGTTTTGAACTGGTTTTGGGATCTAGTCTTAATGATCATAGTTGCTACATAAAATATGCCATTCTAGCCTTAATCTCCACTGGAGTGATGACTGAGTGAGTGATATGCTGTATTTACCTTTTCCTCTGGAACTACAGTTTGAGAGTCGGAGCCCTCTCTCCAGTAGTAGATCAGAAACCAAGAGAGGGTACAACGGGAGTAGTAATCAAGGACCTTGGCCAAGGCTCCACTGGGTCCGTAGTACTCTCAAACAGTTCAATAATCTTATCAGTGACAGGCTGGTGTAGTTAGGGTTATAGGGTTTCTGTGATTCACTGGGCTGTGGTAAACTGTGTGGGTGTACAGGGCTGAGAGGGAGATGAGGATGTGACATTTAATTAGCATTTTTTTTTCTATTTTAGCAGGAAGCGGTGACGGTGGACAAGTATACGATGACTAACAGATCCCTATGCATCACCCCTAAAACATCCCTTTTCAAACGGCAAATCAAGGCAATTACATTAGCTTGTTTACCTAAGTATTTTAGATTCTTTATTTTCTTTCAACAGTTCATATACTTGCGCTTTTGTGTCTACGTGCAGATCTACAGGGCTCACTCTATTACTCCGTTTATAAATTGACTGTCAGTATTTGAGTTTAATTAGGTGGTTCTTCATGTGTATATAACCAAGCCAGTGGTTTAATTAGTGCTCATTCATACCTAAATGAATGTTTACTAAGAAAAGGTTGATACATTGGTTGCCTTGTCTTGGTTGACTATACTTTCTCTTGAGGACTTTAAACGTATGGTCTTGCACAATAACCACAATGTCTTTATCTGACTTTCCTGTTTCCCCTAACTTTTTATTATCTATTTTTGCCATTCCACCTGACCTGTTTTAAGGTGGTGAGGATAGACACTGGTGGTGTGGACACTTCTTTTTCCTCTCATCTGTTTTGGTGTGTGTCAGTCTCTGATATGTGCCTCTGTTTGTATGGTCTTTAGGAGCCGGTCACGGATGTCCTGATGGAGATGTTCCCAGAGACAGAACCCACGCCCACTGGCATTGCGTAAGTCCAGTCTCCCATAAAAAATACACTATACAGTAGACTAGAAATTAGGGGAAGCCTGAGGTCACATCAGGCTTTGTCCAAACCTGGTTAAGTAGTCTGAGTTGCTACCAGTATTTTAATCGAAAGGTACCCTGTCTGGGTTATTCTGCAATCCATTGGTTTCTTCATATGCAGTACTAAAACAAAACTCATCAGCCCCAGCAGCTCTTTAGGACCAGGGTTGGAGAATTCTGGTTTACATCCTATCTGAGTCTACTTAGATTCCATATACCAATATTATTTGGCTACTACGATGTTGCTAATTCCCCCCTTTATTCCAGTGCCACCCGTCGGAGGCCTATCAAGGGTGCAGCGGGGCGACCGGTCCAGTTTAAATACCCAGACCTCCCTGCTAGTCCCATGACCCTACAGAGACGGGCAGTGGAGCGTCGCCTGGTTCCTCTGTGGGTCCAGATCCTGGTCTTCTTCATCGTGGCCTGCCTCCTCTACCTCATCTATGCTGCCATGGAGGACAGCTTGGACAATCCCTTTGTGGCTTTGCAGGACAACCTCAGCATGGGGACGGAGACTGAGGGGCTGTCCCTTCAGGCTGAACCCTAGGATATTCCTCTGCTTGCTCTCTAGGGAGGCATAATTCCCCTGCTCCTCCTCAATACTCCACACATTGGTTTACAGTTATTGTGAGGAACATCATTTGGTTACCATCATTCAGAGCCTTATACAGTATCTATAAAAAAAAAAAAATCTCTATATATGGCTCTGGTGTCATTCTCCTTTGGACTGGATGATGTCACACCTTTAAGCAAGCCAGGGAGCCAGTACCATCCTGTTGGTTGGAACATTTTACGGTGAAACCTACTGTGCTGTTCAAATGCATACAGGATCAGTACAAGTGCAGAAAACAAGTGACTAGGCCTACATAAAAAAAAAAAAAAAAAAAAAAAAAAAACATTTATGAAATGTGTGTAATTTAATGGAGTTTTTGTATTTAATAAAAGTATGTCTCAATGACAAATTCATGGAGTTACAGTTTGAGTTACACCGTTTGTTTTGTTTGTGGCCTTGTTATCAAAGACAAGTCGAGCCTTATGTGGTGGAGCGCACCAAAGATGTGGTCAAGACAAAATGTCAGGGATTTCAATGTCATCTGAAACATGCAAGTTGTTTCTTTTGTTTGTTGATTTTTCAAGAGTTGCTTATTTTGTCGTCAGTTATTTTGAATAAAGAGCATTTGACATGTTTTGTCTAATAAAATAACAAGTGCTACATGGCAAAATGTTATTGGAAGTGCATAAAGGTGCATATTTAGTTGTACATGACTATCTGGTGACCTATTTCCAGCCGAAAGGTGGCGCTCAAACGATCATTCATAGATCAAATCAGCAGGAAACGTCACGAACAGCTTGCACTCTTCACAACAACACGCTGTGCACTGTCAAAAAAAATAAAAATGACTGAACGCAGTGCAAAATTGAACATTCTCAAGTTTGTGAAAATTGTGTCGTTTAGCTTGTTATTCGTTATATTAGCCTTTTTCGTTGCAGCCACTGTAAGGACACTAACGTTTGATGTGAATGCAGGACTTCAACTTGCACACTGGGAGAAGACGAACAATATTGCGTCTGACATAAACCAGCACCAGCGAGAGGAGCTCCTTGCGAATTTCAGAGGTGAGATCCGGACTAATTCGATCATCAAGCTGAGCAGATTTGACAGTCTATGTTGTGTGAATGAATAATCGCAGTAATGTGCACACCAAATTTGCTCAACGACGCCTGCTTTTTTGTACGCAGATGCAATCCGGATTCCCACCGTGTCAACCACGGAGACGCAGCTCAACACCACCGCATTGCGCGAGTTCGACGGCCTCCTGAGGAAAGGTAAGCTACCGGATAGCTACTGTTATACTTGGTTTAGGAGCAGGTACATGATGCATAGGCGGTTATATTATAACCGGTTATTGTAGGAAACATATTTTACTGAACACAAGGCCGGTTAGCCCACTGAGCACAAGGTCGGCAGATGGCGATAATGAGTCGTTTCAATTTACCGTCCAAAGGGAATGAATTCATGCCACTGGTCGTTTTCAATAAAACGTCACAATAAGATGCAGAGCATTCGATTTGGCTGCTGGGGGCGAGGAGTCACTCAACTCCGCTAAAAGCACTGACAACTGCGTGCCGTTTTCAAGGAAATTTTAAATAAATGTTAACTATTTGGTTGTAATATCATCACCTCTTGAAGAGCATAGTCAGAACAAAAAATGTATGATTATTCCATGTAAAACAATTGCGCACATTTAGCGCTATCATCTGTTATATACAGTAAGTAACTGCATGTTTTTCATGATCAGTATGTAATTTCAGATAAGTAAGGGGTAGCCTCACCATATCTCTGAGTATAGTCCCACAGTGGAGGTGTCATAATACCCACAAAACCTAGTAGTCATACAGGGAAATGGTTCCGATCGTTTTTCCACCATTCATTTTCCCCATAGGAGATTTTAGAAACACTTCAAATAAGGGCTGTGTTTTGTGTAGGCTTACCTTGGTGTGAGGTTTTGATAACCATGTAAATGTCTCTCGGACAAGGTGACGTTTATCAATATATTAGTCTCTATTTACTCTGATTCAAAAATGCTAATTGCCATCAATTTAGACATCATGCAAAACTACAAATCCCTGCAAGCTTCTACATGTAATCTCTAGCTGATACCTTTGCTAACAGGTATTGTGTACATTTAAAACTTGCACAAGACAGTTCACAGAATTGTCAATTTAAAGAAATGTAGCTTATTTATTCATTACTACATTTAGCTAACATTATAAATCAATCAAATGTATTTATGAAGCCCTTTTTACATCAGCAGACGTAAGTGCTTATACAGAAACCCAGCCTAAAACCCCAAACAGAAAGCAATGCAGCTGTAGAAGCATGGTGGCTAGGAAAAACTCCATAGAAAGGCAGGAACTTAGGAAGAAACCTAGAGAGGAACCAGGCTCTGAGGGGTGGCCAGTCCTCTTCTGGCTGTGCCGGGTGGAGATTATAAGAGTACATGGCCATTAAGGCCAGATTGTTCTTCAAGATGTTCAAACATTCATAGATGACCAGCAGGGTCAAATAATAATCACAGTGGTTGTAGAGGGTGCAACAGGTCAACACCTCAGGAGTAAATGTCAGTTGGCTTTTCATAGCCAAGCATTCAGAGGTTGAGACAGCATGTGTGGTAGAGGGATGGAGAGAGAGTGTCGAAAACAGCACGTCTGGGACAAGGTAACACGTCCGGTGAACAGGTCAGGGTTCCATAGCCGCAGGCAGAACAGTTGAATCTGGAGCAGCAGCACGACAGAAATGTGTATGAGGACTAGGGCAGTTACGGTGACCATATTACCGCCACACCGGCGGTCACGAGTCATGACGGCAGTCAAATTCCACGTGACCGTTTAGTAATTAGGCTTCTCCAAGATTTGATGCTGCTGATGGTCATTACTAGCCTACCAAACTTGCTAACTGCCTGGTACTCAGCACTCTATTGTCCCTCTAATCACTCTGACATCAATGCAAATGTTTTCGAAAATATAATCAAACACTTCATGAGAGCTCATGTTGCGCAACATTTCTATAGGCTATGCAGTTGCGTGAGAAAACAGAGTGATGACTATTAAAAAGAGGAGGATCCCATCCAGCTTTCTATAGGCTTACTATATATATTAATCAACTTTACTAATATTAAGCACATTGCTTCTCCTTACAACAGAAGTATAACCTACCTGGCTGGCATGATAATGAACCACGGGAAAAGCGTCCTCCATTCGCTATTTAAATGCATCGATGACATGTATTTCTTCCACTTCCCCTGTTTCGAGACAGGTGCATGATAATGGTCCATTCTAAATCAAAAATCATTTCACACATATACAGTACCAGTGAAAAGTTTGGACACACCTACTCATTCAAGGGTTTTCTTTATTTTTAAAATTTTCTACATTGTAGAATAATAGTGAAGACATCAAAACTTTGAAATAACACACATGGAATCATGTAGTAACCAAAAAAGTGTTAAAAAAATCAAAATATATTTTATATTTGAGATTCTTAAAATAGCCATGATTTGCCTTGATAACAGCTTTACACACTCTTGGCATTCTCTCAACCAGCTTCACCTGGAATGCTTTTCCAACAGTCTTGAAAGAGGTCCCACATGTGCTGAGCACTTGTTGGCTGCTTTTCCTTCACTCTGCCGTCCGACTCATCCCAAACCATCTTAATTTCGTTGAGGTCGGGGGATTGTGGAGGCCAGGTCATCTGATGCAGCACTCCATCACTCTCCTTCTTGGTCAAATAGCCCTTACCCAGATGGGATGGCGCGTCGCTGCAGAATGCTGTGGTAGCCATGCTGGTTAAGTGTGCCTTGAATTCTAAATAAATCACAGACAGTGTCACCAGCATAGCACCCCCACACCATAACATCTCCTCCTCCATGCTTTACGATGGGAACTACACATGCAGAGATCATCCGCTCACCCACACCGCGTCTCACAAAGACACAGTGGTTGGAACCAAAAATCTCCAATTTGGACTCCAGACCAAAGGACAGATTTCCACCGGTCTAATGTCCATTGCTCGTGTTTCTTGGCCCAAGCAGGTCTCTTCTTCTTATTGGTGTCCTTTACTAGTGGTTTCTTTGCAGCAATTCGATCATAAAGGCCTGATTCACACAGTCTCCTCTGAACAGTTGATGTTGAGATGTGCCTGTGACTTGAACTCTGATGCATTTATTTGGGCTGCAATTTCTGAGACTGGTAACTCTAATGAACTTATCCTCTACAGCAGAGGTAACTCTGGGTCTTCCATACCTATGGCGGTCCTCATGAGAGCCAGTTTCATCATAGCGCTTGATGGTTTTTGCGACTGCACTTGAAACGTTCAAGATTCCTGAAATGTTCCATATTGACTGACCTTCATGTCTTAAAATAATGATGGGCTGTCGTTTCTCTTTGTTTATTTGAGCTGTTCTTGCCATAATATGGACTTAGTCTTTTACCAAATAGGGTTATCTTCTGTATACCCCCCCTACCTTGTCACAACACAACGGATTGGCTCAAACGCATTAAATTCCATAAATTAACTTTTAAGAAGGCACACCTGTTAATTGAAATGCATTCCAGGTGACTACCTCATGAAGCTGGTTGAGAGAATGCCAAGAGTGTGCAAAGCTGTCATCAAGGCAAAGGGTGGCTATTTGAAGAATCACACATACAGTGGGGAGAACAAATATTTGATACACTGCCGATTTTTGAGGTTTTCCTACTTACAAAGCATGTAGAGGTCTGTAATTTTTTATCATATGTACACTTCAACTGTGAGAGACGGAATCTAAAACAAAAATCCAGAAAATCACATTGTATGATTTTTAAGTAATTAATTTGCATTTTATTGCATGACATAAGTATTTGATCACCTACCAACCAGTAAGTATTCCGGCTCTCACAGACCTGTTAGTTTTTCTTTAAGAAGCCCTCCTGTTCTCCACTCATTACCTGTATTAACTGCACCTGTTTGAACTCGTTACCTGTATAAAAGACACCTGTCCACACACTCAATCAAACAGACTCCAACCTCTCCACAATGGCCAAGACCAGAGAGCTGTGTAAGGACATCAGGGATAAAATTGTAGACCTGCACAAGGCTGGATGGGCTACAGGACAATAGGCAAGCAGCTTGGTGAGAAGGCAACAACTGTT